CTAGAGAATTTTTTTTCGTTTTTCCACTGCACTTTTCTGCCCAAACCCAACAAAAAGTTATTGCCGTTATCTTAGGAGGAGTTCCATGCAACCAAGTTGGAAGGGCTAGACTAAGGTATGGCACTTAAATACCGCACCCAAAATTTAAATATTTTTTTGATAGGTTATGGAGGGATGTCTCCCTATATATGTGAGGGGTCGTAGTAAGAGGTGTTCAAATATCCTCTATTTGTAAATTGTGTGAAATTGATGAATAAAATATGGAGCATGTGTTACTTTGCTATCCGTGCTCACATTATGTGTGGCAGCAGGTGTTGGAATATTTTATTTCAATGATAATATGGGCTAATATTATAATTATTGTATTAACTATTTATTACAATTGGTACTTTATGTGGTCAAAATTAGTTAAGCCTAATAGACTTTTAAATAAAGGAAAAATTGATAGTAATAATCCCAACTATTGGCGGTCTGCTCATAATAATCCCAACTATCGATTATTTCACAATAATCCCAACTTTAGGGACCTTCCGCCAATAATGATCCGACGTGACCAACTATAAATAAAATTATATAGTTTCTAAAGTGGATGAGAAGAGATATAGCAAGTAATCCCTATAAATAAACCGAACTTTTAATTTTACGCTTAATTTCTATTAAAAATCAAATGTTATAGCACGTATTATCCGGTCATGGACCATTATTGGCGGACAGTCCATATAGTTAGGATTATACAAAAATAATCTATAGTTGGGATTATTGTTAGCGGACCAGCAATAGTTGGCATTATTATTTTCAATTTCTTCTTAAATAAATCGTATGAGCCAATAAGTTGGCAGAACCTGTGTTACCACTTCGGGTTTAATGAGAACTCTAGCTAAGCCTAACACACTATATATAGGTTATGGTCCCCAATATATTGAACCACCATTCACTTTCTCTTCTCCCCATCAGAAAAGAGATTAAGGCTTCGAGACGGTTCAATTGAGCAAGAGGCAGACGTCATCTACCTCGTTCAATTATTCAACAGGATGAAGGTTTTGATAATATTAGAATTATTCATTTGATTTGATCTTGTGTTGCTTCCGATATGTGTGTGTGTGTTTCCAACATCAGGGAGATGAAACTTTTATTGATGAAACATCAGGGGGTAAGGAATGTTTTTGAAGGTGCTAACACCGAAAAACAATGTCAGTTTGTAATGATCATGTGGAGCATATGGAAGAGGCGGAATGACGTTGTTTGGAAGGAGGAAACACGAAATGGGGGTGCAGTTTTCCAGAGGGCAGCTGCCACGCTGTCGGGGTGGAGCCCAGGGTTTGATCCAAGGAAATGACGGAAGTAGCAAGTCAAATGGGACGTGCAAGGATTTGCGTTTCAACAAGACCAAGTATAGGTTGGATTAAAATCAATGTTGATGGGACAAGTGATGAAAATAGGGGGATACGATCTTGGGATGGGTTGCAAGGAATGACAAGGGTGAATTGTGTGTGGGTACAGAGAGGCAAAGGAAGTTGGCTAATCTCTCAACGGAAAAAGAGGCATATGTGGTCAGAAAAACGTTAAATGCAGCCAAACGATTAGGTTGGCAGAAAGTTGAGATTAAAATGTATGCTTTAGTGGTGGTCCAAAGTCTTTCTAAGCACGAGGTTCCTCTTGCCTCTGATTTTGGATGACATTCGTTCTATTCTTGAAAATCATAGTCAATATTAAAAAAATTGTAAATGGTCAACAAATCGTGTTGTTCATGCTCTAGGTAAGGTAGGTGTTTCTTGTTCTGACTGTTGCTCTGTTTTTTAGCACGCTCCGGACTGAATTATAAGCTTGCGTCACATTGATTTACTCGAGTAATGAGAATGCACGTTTACTATAAATAAATAAAATAGTCCCCATCTTCAATTTACTAGCTTGCGTTAGTTTTTACTCTTGATAGTGTTTTACTTTCATTTTCAAATCTTATAATTTCTTCTTTTAATTGGTTTTGTAAATTTTATTCAAGCTTCATATAAAAAAAGTCCAAATAATATCAAATTTTCTTATGGCCTTTAATTAACAGGAGATATGCAAGAATAGAGATGAACCTGTCCAAGGCAATGCCATGAGGGTATGTCTAATTTATTCTTATTTATTTTAGTTCTTTACCTAGTCATGGACTCGGGCCGGTTCAGGCTCGGGCTGGGCCTAGGCCCGGTCGGGCCAAAAAAAATCAGTGAAGCCCAGGACCGGCCCAGATGTTGACCGGTGCTGGTCCGGTCCGGGCCCGGGTCGGGCCGGGTCCAGTTCTAATTTTTTTTCTTGATTAATTCATCCCCTCCCCCCCATCCCCCAAACTCATCGGAAACACTCAGCCCAAACCCAAAAAAGGAAAGGAAAAAAATAAAATAAATAAGGAAAAATTGATAGTAATAATCTCAACTATTGGCGGTCCGCCCATAATAATCCCAACTATCGATTATTTCAGAATAATCCCAACTTTAGGGACCTTCCGCCAATAATGGTCTCCATAAATAAATTCTTATAGTTTCTAAAGTGGATGGAAAGAGATGTAGTAAGTAATCCCTATAAATAATCCTAACTTTTAATTTTTACACTTAATTTCTATTTAAAATTCACTTTTTATAGGAGGTAATATCTGGTCATGGACCATTATTGGCGGACGGTCCATATAGTTGGGATTATATAAAAATAATCAATAGTTGAGATTATTATTAGCGGATGGGCAATACTTGGGATTATTATTTTCAATTTTTCCAATAAATAACAGGCCCAAACCGGCCAGGTCGGTACACATTTTAGCATACCCGGAACCGGTCTCGGTTTAATCCTTAAACCGGGCCTAAACCCGGAACCGGTACCCGGTTCCCGAGCCGGGCCCAAACAGTGTCGGGCCGGGTCGGGTGGCCCACACCGAGTCCAACACTATCTTTACCCCATTCATATGAGCACTTAAGGGGTCTGATTTGATTTATTTATACTATCTCCTTTCTCTTTTAAATACAACATTGAACTTTTTGCACTATTCACATTATCTATTTTGACTTTATTTTGTTTATTAATGTATTATAAAGTAAATTAAAAAAATGTTAAATTTCTCAAAATCTAATTTTTTACGACATGAAAAATATTAATAGTCAAACAAGTGTGTTGACAAACGTGAAAAGTGAACCATTGCAATTAAAAAAGAACGGAAGAAGTATAACCTATGTAGCACCGATACCGGTACGCGGAAACGCGGAAACGGGTACGGGGATACGTCAAAACCAAAAAAAGTAGGATACGGATACGGGGCCATAGTTATAAATATTAAAAGTTATGGGGGTGTATTTACAAATATTAAAAGTTATAGAGGTCTATTTATAAATATTAAAAATAGATTTTTTTTGAATATATATATATATATATATATATATATATATATATATATATATATATATATATATATATATATATATATATATATATATATATATATATATATACATACATATAATATGCTATGATGTCTACCCATTCATTGCATTGAAACATTTTCCTTTTTCATGATACTTAGTAATAAATTCATAATATTTCTCATATACACTAGTGTATCTAGAAATATAAATGTTGTCAATAAGTCATTAATTTAAAATGAGAAATAAGTCAAACAACTACAATCTTGAAATTAAAAGTGCAAGTACCCAATTCGGAGTATGAGTTAATGACTTAATTCGAATATAGCCATATAGGCCCATTATTTGATTACCAAGTAAAATGTAATTTTAGATTTTCATTTTTTTTAGAATTTTATTAAGTAAATTTTGGGATTTTTTTTAAAAAAAAAGTTGATACGGGTATCCGTCAGGATACGAGTATCGGAAACTTTCAAAAAATTACAAAAAAAAGAAGAAACTTTTAAAAATTGCAGATACGGCCCGGGAACGTACGGTACGGGTATCCTAGAGTATCGGATACGGGAACGTATCGGACGCCGATACGCTACCCTAGGGAAGTATCCGTGCTTCATGGAGTATAACAATTGCAGTCCTTTTGGAAACTGGGCTTGTGACGTTAGCAGAGGCCTGTATAATATCCGAGAAATTTAGTGGAATTTGAAAATTTCAGGTAAAGCAACATTTATTATCCTAAAAAATTAGTACTACAATAAACGAACAAAACCTCAACAATCAACAAATACACACACCCAAAAAGCTGCCAGGTTTTGTTGATGATAACCAATATCAAAAAGAATAAAATCAAGAAATATATTTCAAATCCTAAAAATAAAGGTTAAAAATTAAGTTCAAACGTAAAACAAATTTTGAGTACAATCTTTACCAAATTGATGCAAAAGGATAACATTTATCAAGCTCAAATATCACACAAATTTTGGCTACAAATCTCAAAACATAACTAAAAAAATCAACAAAAACATCCGCTAGAAACTAAGATGGATGAAAGGGGGGGTAAGAAAGACAATCATAATGGGGAAAAGATGGAGGGTACCTGCAGATTACTTGGAGATATCCAGGGTGAAAGCAAAGTAGAAGTTGGAGAAGATGAAGGAGTGGAGGCGCAGGGTTATACGAGGAATGTTACAAAACTAAAAATGTCTTCTTATTGAACGCTACCCAGCATAGCGTCTAGTAAAAGACCTGGACTTCTGATAAGTTAGAGGCTACCAGGTTTTGTTATAAATTTATCAGTTCCCTTCACTGGGTGCAGGTGGGAGGTATGAAAATATAACTGTGGAAGTTTCTTTTGTGTGCATATATCGCAAAGATAATTAACATATTAGAGATCCAGCGTAAATAACACTCCATTTTACACACTCAGCTGTATTCTTCAGCAAAAAGGCTGCACAGAGAAACAGGCAGAGATTCAGACCCATAGGGTTGAGAAAGCTTCTTCAAGGGCCCTTTTCCTGCTTATTTCGACGCTCCATCCACCAGCCCTTGCAGCTCTTTCAGTTCGTTCTCTCAGTTTCTCTTCATCTTCAACCTCAAAGCCATACACGTCATGAGCAGCCGCAATTGGGACAGGCTGTGTTGGGCGTGGCTGGCCAATAGCAATTGCCGGTGCATATTGTCCATGTGGCACAGTACTAGGCCCAGCTTGAGAACTTTGGGTTGCTGCCTGTGCAAATGAAGATGAAAATACAGTCAACAAACATAGCATGACAGGAAACATCACCATCGTCCTACGTGACGGGTGACTCCTTTTCCAGAATAAACCATTGAAGTAAATTAGGAAGCTTTGAAATAAGCTAAAATTAAAATATAAAAAAATTGATTTTTTTTTAATTGAGGATTTTATTAAACTATTGATGTAGCAAAGAAGACATCCCGAGGCAAAACGTTGCAAAAACAATGTGGTAAGAAACTGTTAGGGCGAAAAAGAGCAAGCAATCATTTCATTTTCATTTTCATTTACCCCAGTGCCGCAAAGGCTCCCACCTACGGTGGGGTAAGGGGGGTCGGATGTACGCAGTCTTACCCCTGTACTAAAGCACAGAAAGACAGTTTCCGGATGACCCATAGTGAAAATCGCGTCCAAAATTGCATGGACTGACTGTTGTTTCATAACAAAGAAGCGCAGCCAGTTTAGTGAGTCATTTTGCTTTATTCCATCATATTCTCAAGCCAAGAAAATAAAAAATGTTTGGCTTCATTGCAAATGATGGAAAGAAAAAGAGCAAGCAATAAAAAACAAAAAATCAGCTACAAAAATGAAAATTCAGAAAAGTAGATAAGCAAGACAGAAAAGCAGCAAAGACGCAAAGTATTGGCTAATGCCCACAGAATGCCCCATGAGTTCTTTATGGGTAGAAAAAATATGAGAAAAGGGTCAAATAAGGCCTTCTACTATTATGAAATAGTCACATAAGGCCATATACTCAATAAAGTGTCATATAGGTACCTCTACTTGTAAAGAGCAATCAAATGGGTCCTAATGACCTATTTAACACCTCTTAATCCCGGTTTAGCGTATTTCTGACTAGGGTTGAGCGCGGATCTGGGAATTCCCGTTCCGTACCGAAGAACCGTCCCGTACCGTTCCAAAACCGAAAGAACCGGAAAATGTAATACCGTACCTTACCGAGCTTTTTTAATAATATGGTACGGTACCGGTTCTTAGTGAGAACCGTTCCGGAACTGTCCCGGAACCGTATTGAACCGAACCATCTCGTACCGTCCTGAATTGTCCCGAAAACTAGTGTTATAATATAATAATATATTATATATAATATATTACCGAGTATAAATGTTAGTGACCGTATGTCCCGAAAACTAGTGTTATAATATAATAATATACTACGTATTAGATATAATATATTACCGAGAATAAATGTTAGTGACCGTACGTCCATTTATTACAAATATGCAATCTTGCATATTCTTTGGGCGTAATCCGTTTATTAAGACTTGACAGCATTAAAAGTTAGCTTTAAAACAAAAACAATACTAAATGATATAAACAATATTACGTAAATAGGGTTAATTATATTTCTTGGGGGTTAATAATTTAGGAACCAAATAACACCGGAGAACCGTACCGAACCGCACTGAAAAATTGGTACGGAACAGGACAGGTTCTATATATATGCAGGACGGTACCGGTTCTTGATTTTTAAAAGAACCGTACTTTGGGACGGGACAGGTTTTTTGAAATAACCGTCTTGTACCGTCCCATGCCCACCCCTACTTCTGACCATCTTTTTAGAATAGAATATACGGCATATGTCGAACATTAACTAAGATTGGTTGAAATACAAGTCAAAAAATGCAACATGTAAGCTAAAACCGGGATTATGAGGTTGTAAATAGATCGTTATGACTCATTTGATTATTTTTTACAAGTAGAGGTACTTATATAACACTTTATTGAGTACATGGCCTTATGTGACTATTTCATAATAGTAGAAGGCCTTATTTGACCCTTTTCTCAAAAAATATTCACCACTTGGCACCAAATGCACAAATATGCAAAATTTGGAAGGAATAATAGCAAATCTCCGCTTAACTACTTGATGGTGACAAAGCAAGCCATATTATATGAGCATCTAAGCAAGCAAGCTAACAATCTTTTAGTTAATATTTGTCATCTATTTCCAGCTATTTGAGCATTTGATAACTGTCTATGGCCTCCAGGCACCTAATTTACCAATGAAGCAAATCATCCCATGTTTGAGAATGCATGAATTAACTTAACGAAGGATATTTGTCAAAATATGTGGGTATTAGATCAACTCACTGTATCACCATCATGTCGGGAAGGTCCCTTACTTAAGGCTGCTGCCAACTCCTCAGCCTGATTTACCACATAAAAACCTGCATGAGCACTATAGGGGACACCATAACATACACACATTTGAATAGTAGGTACTGAATGTACCTTGCGAGCTTGAGAAATCATGATTTGTTCAGCATTTTCTTTTTGGTATTGAGAAATCTTTGCCTCAATAGCAGGAACATCTATTCCTTCAATCAAATCACATACTGCATAGAGACAATATTGTTAGGCAGTTTAAGACTTTTGAAATCTAGTCACTATAATACAAAAACCTACCCATATTCTCTACTTCTTCCAAATAATCATTGTAATCCCGTAATGAAGGAAAATCCTCTTCTCTTTTATTATATCTGCATAGTTTAGCGAGCATACAGTGTAAACAATGTCATCCAGTATGAAACCCCCAACAGCTTGGACATCTATCTCACAAATTTCTTTTTCCCCCACCACACCCCTGCCTTCTAGATTATATAGGTTTGGTGTTTATTACCAAGTTCTAGTCGGTCTGTATGCACATAACCAAGCTATCTGATCAGGTAATGTGCTTATATGGCAAAGCCTAATTAACCAAATCAATGCTTCAAATGCATTTTAGAATCCACCTTTAGATGTTTGGTGAATATAATGGATTATGGAGTGTAGGTAAGATTTTGGCGGATCAAAGCCGATAATCTGTAAGAAGTAGACCATGAACCATTAACAATCCTCAACCATACTCTGTGTAAAATAATCATTAATCAATACTCGCAAGTTCGAAAGAACTTGGACAAATTCATCAAGCATCTCACACATCATATGTACTTCTTACAAAATGATGGTAACACAACTTCATAGCAAAGCAGAAAACTGTATACAGAACTGAGCAATCATAAAGAGCCATGGCCAGTTCATAATTCTATTAATGCCTTATTCAAGCTGAATAAGTAAGAAGAATCGTAGGGAAGGAGGAGAAATTATTTGCAATCAAAAGCATGTTATGCGGAGTAACTACAAATTGCAACATGGTGCTAACATTGAAATGCAATGGTGTACGCAGTATGCATCCAGCACATCAATTATTAATGCCAAGATAATTAGATAAAACAGATATCCATGAAGGCATGAATTGATGGATTTGAACACTTTATTTTTAGACAGTGCTAAAAAATTATGACTCAACCCTAAAATGGTAAAGAACAATGCCGCATCCTAACATCGAAAAACATGTCTTAGATAAGGTTCACACCTTTCAACAATATGTACAGAAATATGCATTTATGACAGCGGAGAGCAAGGATTACGGCTAGTAGTAGAAGTAGAAGAAGAAAACATACATATTGCCAATGCGTTTACGTATGGACATTTCTTTGGCAAATGGATTGCCTCCAGAAGCGACCACCATTATTCACTTTCGGTCTAGTTTGCCCCCAACTTGTTAATCACTAGCACAGGTCTTCAAAATGTTAATATGATCCACATACAAATCCTAGGTCTCTCAAAATGTATTTCCAGCTCAAACAGAGTGTAGATTGGGTAATGTCTGGCACAATCTTTGCTCTTTGGATGGGTTCTTCAGCGCAATGCAAGCTCAGATTCTTTTTCAGCATTTATAGTATTCTCCCAATCTAAAATTTCACATATTTCGTTGCAGAGCGAGTTGAAATTCAGGAATTTAAAAGATCAACGAACTGCTAACTAAGTTTAAGCAACCTTTTTTATTTTAGTTAGGTTCAAATTACCTACCCACAGAGCATGAACTCGAGCGTTGCCGTTCACTGTGTTTGACCCGTATTGTGCAATGGACTGTCTGCCCTCCTCACAGTTTATCCACTTCGTCGATCTGGCGTCAGGACAGCTGATGGACCGGAGTGGGAGGAACAGGGCCGGCCCTGGCAAATTAGAGGTCCTATTCAGAATTAAACAAGAGGCCTTATTTTGCTATCATCTGCCCAAAGCCTCCATCTGAAATGAGAGTTATGAGAGCTTGAATCCATGAATGTATATTCTTAGACCATATTTCTATTACAATTAAGAAAACATTATGATTTTAATTAAACTAAATTTATCTTTTTCTTTGTAGTTTAGTTATTCCTCAAATATGTTTACTAAAAGTGAGTGAGCTATACCATTAAAATTGAATAGATTAATCAATATAAAGATTAAAAAAAACATTATACCATATAAAAGGTATACATATGATCCATATACTTCATTTTATTTTTGTAAAAAACTGAGAAATATTGAACAATCCTTATTGGAGACCATTCATATCTACGCATAAAATTCTCAAGTCCAATCCTTAAAAATTGTAGTTGAAGGTGGAGATTTTACTGAAATGGGAGTGGGTACCTCAAATTTATTAAAGAAACATGGAAGAGCAAACAACTGAAACAATTTAATGAACAAAAACAAAATACCTTACAAACTATAAGAAATCGTAGAGGCGTGGACATCAAAATTGCGAAAGACTGAAGCCAAATTCTTATAGCATATTTATACCAATTTCTTAATTGTTAAATACAATTACCAATTGAATTACTTAATAAATTCAATAAATAAAAAAGTAATGACAATCTAATTTGCAATAAAAAAGAGAGAAATTTCAGAAAATCGCATATGCTTACCTAGTACCGAGGTCCGAGGCAGTGAGGGGCAGGGGACCGTGAGTCCGTGAAAGGTGGGCGGTGACTCGGTGAGGCACTGAGGTGGACAGGCGGTGAGCCGCGTGACTGCGTAGTCTGCGTCAGGCACTTCAGTCGTGGAGGCGGGGCGCGGTGCAAAAGAGGCGTCGTCGGCTCGGTCGTCCGTTCAATCTTTCTCTCTCTATTTCTTTGGACTTGGGCTGGCGGCTGTGTAATAACACTAGTATTAAATTTTGTTTTTGGGCTTTCGATAATTACGTGCCTCAATATAAAACAATTTTATATTGTTTTATACAACTACATTCCAAAAAAACTTATTATCAGGTGAGCCACATTAGTATAATATTTTATGACCAATATGAGTAAATTAATTTAATAAATATACTTTTTCTAAAGTATAGTAACAAGCATGGTGTCAAAAAAAAGCATATTAACAAGCATTTAAATTAAAATAAAATGAAACATACAATACACATTAGTACGTAGTATTAATTAGAGTTCATTATGTGTCTGAAAACACGTTAAATAAAGAAAATACATAATAGAACACATGCAATCATCATACACTATCAACGACATTGCCTCATATTACGTGACGAATTTTTTGTTATTACATCCCGTAATGCAATCATACATTGACAACTTGCACTGAGAACCTCATTTGAAGACCTTTTGTTGGCAGGGATGGATTTAGGGGGGGGCGCGGGGGGCGACCGCCCCCCTTGGATTTTCAAAATTTTCTACCATATATGTAATATTTTCATAGAACTTTCATAATTTAATTAGATTCGCCCCCCTTAGCTTTTAATTTTCAAAATTAATATATAGTCTTACATTATGTAATAGTTAATTGGAGATTTGAAAGAAGTAACATCTAAAATAATTTACATAGCTTAAACAAATAAACAATAGAATAACTCGTTGTTTAAGATTTGGGTCCTTTGGGATACTTATTATATAAAAATTCCTAGTTTTGTAATGTTTAATTATCTTTATTAGATAACAAGTACTGGATTTTGTAAAATATATATCAAATGATATTAAATATCAGGCACACTAATTACACAGTATTTAGATCACGTGAAATGATCCAAAATATAAATGTTTATTGAAATTAAAGTACATAATTTGTTTACTTCTTGCTTTCTAAAAAATAATTTATTGCATAGATAATAAACTTTAAATTATTATAGCATTAATACAAATATTAAAATATAATATGTACCATATATATAATATGTGGTGCATATTATCTAAAAATAATAATCCCATAAATATTACTATTGTAATATTAAGAAAACTTCTCATGAGTCATGACTCACGAACACCCTCCTTGGTAGACAAAAATTACAATTCAATAACCGATTCATGAGGTTAAACAATGTAGAAGTTATTTAAAATGTATTGGTTGATGTCTTTGTCATTGTCTAAACTTAGAATGTAATAGATTTAAATATCGTTGGGAATGTGTATGTATTAATGTCATTTTTTGAATTAAAATAGTCGCATAGCCCTACAACACCGAAAAAATTCGCCCCACTACACTATGGAAAAAAAATTCGCGCCGCTACATTAACGAAAAAAATTTCGCCATCTACACTAACGAAAAATTTCGCCCCCCTTGAGTCAATTTCCTGGATCCGTCCCTGTTTGTTGGGTTCTTGTGTTGGTGGGGTAATGCGATCTTTTGGAACACAATCAAGAGAAACAACGCTCAAATGAAGAAGCGGACAACTATGAGATTTTTCTTGCCCCACGAACCTCATTTGATTTTTCTTTTACAATGCTACAGTGCTACCATTATCATATAAACCACACTTCATTTTCAACATTACACTTCATAATCTACAAAAGAAAACAAATATACATGTATTAAACATATTACAATGTTTAATACAAGAAATAACCGGAAATAACAAATTACAATGGCCGAAAGAGGGAGAGAAGCTTGCGTTATCAATGCTACCTCCCTTTGGGAGCAGTGCCATTAACCGGAATATATCAAATCGCTATCTGTTTTCGTGTTTTAGATCACCGCTTATGCAATAGCTGGATGAGGGTTGTAACTTGTAATGCTATGGCTTGATGCACCTGGAAAAACTACTATACTCTATAAGCTACACATAGGAGAAGTTTTATCAATAGTTCCTACCATTGGTTTCAATGTGGAATAGGTGCAGTATAAGAATGTGATTTTCACGGATGGAGAAGTTAAGGTCTCTCTCGAGGCATTACTTCAAAAATACAGATGGACTGAGAGAGGATTGGAAGGGCCAAAGAAGGGTTTAAGGCCAAAATTAAGATTCGAATTCTTTGTTGCTCCCAACATTCTTAGTATTGAATGAAAATAGATGTTTAACTATGGTGTTCTGTATATTGGAGGAAAGACCTTTTTATTGAAAAAACAAAAAAAAATATTCCAAGCTCACGATTCGAGTTTGAAGCTAGGATCCCAAAATCGAGTTCGAAAAATAGTTGTGTTCTTTAATATTGTTGATAGCTTCTACCAGAAGTTTGAACTTTTGGAAGTAAACAAGCAAGCACCCAGAAGTTTGAACTTTTGGAAGTAAATAAGCAATCATGGATGCATCAATATAGCTTTCCAATTCCTAGCGAAAACTGAAAAGGCCTTACCAGACTCCCTCCTGGGCTTCGCTGCTCAACCATTTGGAGAAAACACTCTTCCCCAACAGTAAGCATATTGAAGAGATAGTATTGAATTTCTTAAAAAACGATGATATAGAAAAATCAAATCTTTCAAAATTTAGGTTGTAAACTCCGCAAAAATCTTCACTGAGCTTTTTCCATCACAATTTCACATTATAAAATTCGTCCCCAACAGTAAGCAACACACACAAATAGAGTTTATTTTTTTACTTTCTAATATGCCTTGACAACTTGCTTACATGATAATCTTTTTTTGGAATCAGCTATTATTTAAGTTTCAAACAGTATTGAAAAACCATATAGAAGAGATAGTATTGAATTTCTTAAAAAATGATGATATAGAAAAATCAATTATTTCAAAATTTAGGTTGTAAACTCCACAAAAACCTTGAGTGAGCTTTTTCCATCACAATTTCACAATATAAAATAGATATTCGAACATTATACATTTTAAAATGAAATTTTCATGATTATATATGCTTAGTGTTCAAGGGGATCCGAGTAAACAAACTAGCAGATTTTAGGGGGGTCAGAGATATACTCGAAAATATACCGGAAAATAGGTGTTTTCATGATTCAGACTATGAACATCTACCCCAGTCCACAACAACATCATTCTTTGTAAAACACAGTCGAGCAAGAATAGAGGGCAAGGAGGAGGAGGAGGAGGAGGAGGAGGAGGAGAAGAAGAAGAAGAAGAAGAACTTAACCTGCCTTTAGATGAATATGGAGAATCCAAGTAAGAATTCGTTGATCTGGAAGGCCGAAACTATGGCGCAGTCAAGCAGCAAGTCGTCGATCCACTATGACGCAGTTGTGGAAGAGCTTTCTCGAATTAGGCGTAGCGATGTATTAGGCGTTAAATGAAAGAGTAAAGAAGTATCTTTTGATGTGCAACGGTACATTAAGAAATTTCAGCTCAAAAAGTAACTCTTATGTTACTCTTTTGGCTGATAAAAAACAGCCCAAACAGTCCAGTTGGCATGTGTTTGGCTACTTTTTTGTATTTTCAGGCTTTTCAGCCCATTTTTAGGCCTCCAAACACCCTCCTAAAAGTGAAAATAATATGACTATTTTTACATCTTAAAGTTTTTTTCAAATATAGCTACTCAAAAGTTTTTCTTTCAAAAATGGACCGTACCCAGGCCCGTGGTTCCTTTGAGGCGGGTGAGACCCGTGCCTCAGGCCACCAAAAAACTAAGGCCCCATTTTAGTAGTTCCTTTGTATTATTATTTAAAAGGGTCGATTTGTTTTTTTAAATAACTCAAATTAATTATAAAGAAATTGAAGTCAATCTTTATCCTAAGAGCATCTTTAATGGGAGGCTTTCAACATTAAAAAAATTGTGACACATGGCAATAAATGTATGGAATGTTTAGCCATGTAGGATGAATGTCAATACCTTAACTCCTAAAGCAGCCAAATGCTCTCCAATGCATTCCGTTGATGTCTAGTAGTTTACTAAGTGGAATATATTTAATTCAAATTAATAAATGTAAAATTAAATAAGAAATAGCAGTTATGCTTCACGTTTTGTTGAGTCATGCTGTGAAGGGGACTGTCGAGAGACAACATTCATGTGTACACTGTCTAATTTATTTTTGAACAAGTCAGCATCACATGAGGATTAACATAGTGCATTGGAGATTAAAAGCTCACCATAATGTTAACGAAGGATGACATGTCAATTTTTTTTAAAGTTAACGATGTGCGACTGCAGATGCTCTAAAGAGACTAACGGTTAACACATGTCCACAAAAGCTACAACGGATATACAGTATATCCCAATTCCCAAAACATCTCAATCCTAATAAATATATACCAATTATTTATTTGAGGCATTTATAATTATTTTCTCCTCTCAATTCTTTCCCTGCATACGAGAATACTTGAAAGTTTTTTAAAATTTAATGAACACTCAGATATTGATGGATTTGATTTATTTTCAAAGTTAAAAGTTTTAAAAGAAACTCTAGATAAAGAAAACACTCCACTTGAGGTGCTAAATTACATCAAAAGATTAGATTCTTTTCCAAACACATGTATTGCATATAGAATATTATTAACTATTCCCATCACAATTGCTTCTGCTGAAAGAAGTTTTTCAAAATTAAAATTATTGAAATCTTATTTAAGATCAACTATGTCGCAAGATAGATTAAACGGATTAAATATATTATCTATAGAAAATAATATGCTAGAACATTTAGAATATAAAACTTTAATAAGTGATTTAGCAACTGAAAAAGCAAGAAAATAAATAAATTTCTTTGACAATTGTATTTTTTTCTCTAAAAAATAGGCATCATTTAACTTTTTGCCTCAGGCCTACTTATCTCTAGACACGGCCCTGACCGTATGTAACTCCATATGAAGCACACTTATTATTGCCTCCACACTTACTCGCTTGCCTCCCCTCTAATCCTATTAAATGTGTGTGAGTTTTGAACTACTATGATTTTCAAAAACTTATACGGAGTAAAAAGTAGGAATCACTATTTTTTTTCCCTAGAAAAATGTAAAATCTCTAAAAGATGATCATGCCGAAAACAATGCATTCTCAAAAATAAAAGTGAATTTGAAAAAATCAAAAGTTCAGACTCAAAAATAAAAAATAGTAAAAAAAAATAAAAAAAATGGAAACTAGTAAACTAAATTCAGAAAGAAAAAAAAATTAAATTTTAAATAATGAACTTTAAAAATTGAAAAAGATTTAAAAAAATACGAATTTGTAATGTAATATCTCTTTAAGCACTGAGATGTTGTAATTATCATCATTTATTGTTACTTTTGTTCCCTGATGTTTCTTTTTGTTGACAATTCTGAAATTTTTGTTTTTTTTATTGTTTTTTATGTTTCTAGTTATTTTTTATATTCATAAATTCAAAATTAGCATTTTAAATGTTTGTATATAAATCTATGTAGATGTAGATACTTTGATTTTAAGGAAGTATCAAAGATAAATAGAAATCTAAATACACAACAGAAATCTAAATTAATTAATAATAAACAATAATAATTAACAATGTTCAATAAAAAGTAACATGCATGATGCAACAAAATGCAACACCATGCAACAAAATGGAATACATGTTGTTGGGTATTGGGTCCCGGCCCAAGCAGAGTCCCAAGTATCCCTAGAAGGCTCAGGATTAGCAGAGTCCATCACATAGGGAGCACGTCTGGCTAGTGTCGAGTGGTTGAACGGCCTAACCATCACACTTGAGTCGTTTAATCCGCCGTGAGAAACTAGCCATGGGGATCAACCCAAGATGATTGGTGAGAAAACTCATCATAACTGACGGAAAGTGCATTTAATGTAAGAGATATGGAGGATTTTATGGTTGAGAGATCATCCATTCAGGGTCAGCCATGTCACCCTCCTCAACTACTCATTCATAGTATAAACTAGTCTTTCACCCGTGCGTTGCACGGGATCCTAAATTAAATAGAAGTGACACAAAATACTCCACATGAAATAGAGTTGACCTATTATGTTATGAAATTGTTTCAAAAATTGTACGTAGTATTCTTATAGCAAAAAAACATATTTTAAGAGATTATTTAACGTGTTAATATTTGCAAAGCAAACATGCCACCCTTTGGGAATATTTTGAACTATTTTTAAAACTAAAAAATATAAAAAACCATAATTCGTTTTCTTCTCAAATTTAAATATATATGATGACTCCATTTTCATGAACATCCTTTATATTGCATTATTGAAAGTCTCAATGAATGTTTTTATAAAAAAATTAAGATGGAAAAAAGTAAAAGACTTAATATTCATCATATCACATACGTAGAGCCCGTTTGGTAGCACCAAAATTGGCTGTTTTGGCTGATTCTGCTGAAATTTATGATATTTTGGCTGAAGTGGCTGTTTTGGCTGATTCTGCTGATTTAAGAAAAAAATATTTTAAAAATGTATTTTATTAATAAAATAAAGAAAAAATTATATGTAAAAATAGCTAAAATGGTCATCTACAGTAACTTCAGCCAATACAGCCAGAAAAGTAACTCCAACCTTACTTTTTCGGCTTATTACACAATTCAGAGCGCGAAAGTAAAAGTTACGTGTTTGGTGAAAAAGCTGGCTGATAAGCCTGATAAGCCGAAAACAGAGGTCTCCAAACGGGCTCGTAAGTTCCCTAGAAGACCCTGAAATCTTAGTCTAAAAGAACTCATAAAATTTATATTTCTCTACATCGTCTTTGCAGTAGTGTGTTACACCATTTTATAGCCAAAATAGAACAAAGAAGAAGGAAAGAAATTCCTCTTTCTGGCCTATGCCATTAAATTTTGTTAACGTCTTTTCCAAAGAAGAGAGGAATTAGAGACATTACTCACTTCGGCCATAGTTGTGTTTTAAATAGTTTGCCAGTGAAGAGAAAAATTAAAGGGAATGAAATTGAGTTTTCTTAAGCTAGTAGTTGCCAATTGCTATGACTATGTTCTAATATCATAGCCCAATAAGAGAAGGAAATAGTTAAATAAAAAGATATGTATTTATTCTTGTTACTTCCATGTGAATATCAAGTTTGATTATACAGCAAACTCAAAACTTCCCTTATACCCAATAGTTCAGCTTCCAAAGGAGTACATTTACCCCATCAAGGTTTAGCTCCTCCCGCTAAGAACTCCCCAAACTCGTCTCAGACAACCGCACCTAGTCCATAGCAATCCACCCATAGAATCTTCGACATTGTTTTTTTCCAGCCTGCCGTATTTCCAGCACGGGTTGCCTGACAGCCCGCTATTTTCCTTGCTGCAGGTTGACTGTTGCGCCTCGAACTTCAACATAAACTTTAGCCTCGAACATCAACTAAGCATCACTTAGCCTCGCCCCTACCATGCCATCTTGTTTCATTTAATCCACAATCCCCAACCACCGCACACCAAGGTATGCAGTTCTTCCATCCTCTTAGCTTGAAATACATGTTGCAGCCAAACTAAAAGCATGTTGGCCGACTCTGATCAGACACCTGACAAAAAGGTGCATCACTGATTCTTCTCACCCTAAACACAGACAACACCTTGTTTGACAGTCCACCATACGTCTCCTCAGATTGGTAAGCACGCGCTGCAAACCTGCCAAAACAGAGATTTGATATCACACTTAACAAATGCATAGCTTATATTCATTTTATGTTGTGATTTATGACTTCAAAATATAGTTGAAATTATTTGTTATGTGGTGTTGGTCTGTTACTCTGGCTTGCTTTAGGAGGGTGGAATAAAAAGTGTAAAAATAGAATCTAACAATTGTTAGTTAGTTTCCTCAAGCCAGTTGCCTATTGCCATGACTGATATAATATAATAGCCCTAGAAGAGAAGAAAATGGTTCAAGAAAAAGATGGTATTCCTCAAATTATGAAGCCCCAACATGATACCTAAAAATGTGATGTCGTAGTAAAGCTGTGTTTATATGACCACCCTATTTTAAGATATTAGTCCACAATTTTAATTTAAAAAAAAAAATAATTCGAGTGATCCAAAAAGTGGTGATCTTTAATTTCTGCATTCTTTTGAGTAAAAGTTTACTCCAAGTTGTTTGAGATATTACTCAAAACACTTATGGCCAATTTTTTCGCAGAAGAAGTGAACATTGATAATTTTGATATCTGAACAACTACTCTATAGAAAATGTGATGCAAGAAATACAAAATAAATGGGAATGCATAAAAGATGTATGCCCTTGCCCATGAGGACCAACTTGACCATATTTTGTTGGAAGAATTTTTTGTTGCTAAGCATAAATGCATAATCCTATTTCGTCCTGGTCTCTGTTTCATTCTATAGTAAATAACTACAATTTGTTCACTCTTAATCATCTTAGTGTTAAAAAGCGTAGTCCAAAAAGAAATAAAAAGTTGCATTTGATTCACAA